TTTGACAATTAGGATTGACCAGATTGAAAAGTACACTGATAAAAAAACATACCTACTGTGCCAGACAACAGTATAAGGTCTTTTTGAAAAATATAAAAAAAACATTCTACCAGCTCTTCTTAAATATTTGTACTTATAAGGGAAAAATTTTAAACGAGAAGTACTTTTCCACTTCTCATTTGCAATTTTCTGTCTCCAAAACATTTTTGGTGAGAAATTAATTTTACTGTACATTTTCTCAGACAGAAAAATAAAGTCTTTGATTTACATATTCCACAGATGGTATGTTGTAATCACTGATACTATTCTTTGTAAAATTATAGACTGCTTTTAAACCTTAATGTGCTTTAGCGATCTTGACTTTAAAGAGTCCCTTTATGTAAAAATTACTAGTGTTAAACTAATACACAGTAAGAAAATGTTTTCTTGTGCTTTGTTGAACTCATGTTTCTGTTTTTGTTTATTGTTGTGTTTGTTTGTTTTTTTTTTCTGAAACATATTAGTTAATAGAAATAAATTTAAATAACAAAGAAGCAATAGAAGTATAACTGAAATTTACACACTGATTCAGGTCAAGCATGTTTGCCTCAGTGGTAACTGGAAATCCATGATTTCAAGTTGATTTCGAGACTGAATTCTGTGGAATCAGAATCTTCAATGACACGATCCAAACTTTGATTTACTTTTATTCCTTTATAAATTGCTAGAGTTTCCTTAAAATATATTTCAAGTCTCTCATTTATTTTTATTTTTTTTTTCCTCCATTAGAGGTTCTTTGTTTTCATTGAGCATTCCTTATGGGAATGCCAAACCTCAAATTATACCCCAAATCAGCTGGCGCAGGAAGCTTTTCAACATTTCTTTGGGCCCATGTCTACAAAGTCCTCAGCATTTCTCTACATCTCACTCTCTGAGGGCTTCATTAACCAGATGGGGGGGAGGGCACCAAAAGATCGAACATAGCATCAAACCTAAACGTATTATTTCTGGTACAGCAGTGAAGCAGAAGGCAGGCTTTAAAGCCAAAATGGTGAAAACATGTTTCAGGAAGCTACAGGGCTATTTTGGGCAAAAGGATGAGGAAGTTCTATAACACCAGCCTATTTTACAAAATCCCATTAGATCGTGCAACCTTTCTGGCTTCTAAGAACAAACCCACGGAAAAGAATCTCAATTACCTTCAGATGCACATGAGTAATGCATTGGTTCCAATACGTACCAAGTCTGTGCATGTGTTTTTGAGGGCTGTAGTTATGAATATATTACCAGCTAATATGCTGGCAGATTTATGTGCTGGATGCAATTCTGCCTCTTGTTACAAGGTGGAGATGAGCGTCTCATATCTTGGAAACAGCAGCTATTCTGTTAGCACAGAAACAGCTTTTCTCAAGATGCTTTCTGAATAATAGGGAGAAACCTCAAATCTGTAACACTCCCTATTTTCCATTATGAAAAGTGCATTCATTGCAACCTATACATCAATCACATGACAGCTATGCTTTGCCTAAATGATGAAAGACGACTGATATTTTTAAAATACATGTTAATAGAGTGAAATTGCTATAGGGTTTCTTGAAGTTTTAATATATGTCTGAATTGAGATCTTAATAACACTCTGGCAATGCCAGTGGGAAAAAAGAGAAACATGAAAAGACTATTTTATCATTCCAGCTCAAGCGACGTTGAAATTGACTCTTTTTATTACTTAAATATTAGGAAAATATTAATAAAATATTTAATATCGAACAAACTATTGCAAGCACTTAATAATGGAAATTTGACAAGTTAAACTGCATGGTTGAAAGAGATGGAGGTTAATTGTTGTTTTACATTAACTCTGTTTCATTTTCCCCTAGATTTCTGCAAAGGCCTGCTGGCATGACACAGAGGGATTTTTAACAGCCTAAAGAAATCAGATAAAAGAATGTCATTTTTTACAGTAAAGCTTTAACATAGAATGAACCTATTTGTTCCGGATTGTAAAGTTATATCAAGACAGGTATATAAAAAAGAGGACCAGGGAATATTCCTGGCCTGGAGGCCAAGTGGCCCATTCTGGCTGCGTTCACTGTAGTTGGCCTTGGTCTCTCCCACCACCCCACCTTCATCCTTCATGTTGTGTTATGGTGGCCCTATGACATTACTTTCTCCCCCCCCTCCCCAGTTCAGTATGCCTGTGAAATAACACGTTGGCCCATCAGAATGGTATTTTCATCATATAAGCATGTATTGCATGAGGATGCAGAGATGTTGGAAGGTGCAAAGCCTGCTAGACCTGGAGGTCTATGCTGACAAGAAGGATCTAGGTTTGGTTCAGTCTTATCTATTTTCACTCTTGGAAATAGTTTCTGCTCTATGCTTTCACTGTGACAGGCCTAGGTATTGTCTTAGACAGCACCACTTGGCAAGTGCCAAAATTTTGGGAACATACCCAAATTTAAGCAGCACAGATGTTTGGCTGTCAGTGCTTGAAAGCATTCTGGCCCAGCTTCATTTAGCAACAGACACAGCCCAAATGATTAAAGGAACTTTACTAAACCCTAAAGAACTGAGTTATAATAAAGGTCAAAATACAATTTACACTATGCAAATCTGGCTTTGTCTGCAATTTTGTTATTATTATGGTCCACCTCCAAGGGAGACAGCCAGCTGTGTGTGAAGGAGGATGTGCATTCAGGGGCAAGGAAAAAGAAAGGGGTTACTACCCATTATGTTCTGCTGCAGAGCCAAGAAGCTGGCGCACAGGTAGATACAATTTCTTCCCATGCAAACACAGCTATTGATGCTTTCTAGCACAAAGAGATAGGAGACTGGGACAGTAAGTAGTGCCCCATCAAATACTCATAGGAACATGCTTCTATCTTCCCCTATTTCTTCCCTTTAGGGCTTTTCTAATACAATTCTTTTGGAGAAACAAGGTGGGTCTCCAGAAGGGGTCAACAGGTGATGGCCAGGGTGGAGGCCAGGGCTGCAGACTGGTCCTCATCATGCACTTTTGACTAATTTATACCAGCAGCTTAGCAAGCACCTCTTTTAGGTTAAGAACACTGTCAAGAATTTGCTTTACATGAGTGCTGTAATTATTGTGTCTTGGCTTTTGCATTCACGCATAGAGCAGCCTATTGTCTCCAGGGGTAGAGGGGAACAAGAAGGTGCACATTATAATGATCCTTTTTTACTTTTTATATGCCTATGCCTTTATCTATCATATAACATGCAAATCTCATTTTTGAGCATCTAGTGAGCCGGTATTGCCTTGCCAAAAGAGCTATTCTTTTCTATTATACCTCTTCTGTGTGAAAACGCTTCAGCACCTAGCAGGTATTAAAACAGACAGAACAAAATTTGAAAACTCAGATGGGAAGAGAGACCAACAGAAGAAAGTGAACAACTATCTTCAGAGTTAATTTTTATTGTGCAACAAAAAACAAGTCACCTTGGTTAAATATTTTGAAGGGTATTTAAACTACAATCAAAAGCAGTAGATTCAAAATAAATTCCTTCAAAACTTAGGACTCACATCCAACTAAATGCAGATCCCAAGTTCAGATACGAGTTCTAAAATAGGTCTTGATCTCTTCTCCCTCCCCTCCCCACCATTAACATGAGTTATTCCACTGCAAACAATGGAACTTCATGCAAAAATTCTGTATGTTGTGGTTAAATCCACAGTTATTCCCTAAAATTAAGGGTAATTCCTCACAATGAATAACATCTACAAGGAAGTAGAAAGGCAGATGCTTCTTAAAAAGAAGTCAGAGGTGAATAATTCTTAGTACTGGCAAAGCATAATGTTAGAAGTCCTTTATCCCATTGACTCTATAGGTTTTTCAACTTTAAGAAGTGGTTAAGAGTACATCCTTGGCTACTATTACATCTTTTCATTTTATGCGGAAATACCCTTTACTCCAGTTACTTATAAACAAAGTGTTTGGAGTGTCTGTTTCTTTCAATGAGCACTGGAGAAGGCTGAGGAAGGGTTCAGCAGTTTTATCACTCACAAACTCAATGCAGCTCTTCTAAGAACCCTTTTATTTTTTCCCCTCCCAAATGTAGACATTTCTGGTGGGGGGGCAATCTGCAGGAGTTTGACCTTCAGATTTTCTGGGAATCTAGATGTTTGATTTCCTGAGCTCCTCCCGTTGGAAGAAATAAGTTCCTTGTAGGCTCCATAAATAGCGAAAAATACACCTTCTGCAAACTTTCACTATAACACAGGCCATTAGGGACATAGACATACCTCTATACTTCTGATGTCTGAGTAGGTGGAAAGAGGACCATGAACCTGACTGTCCTTGGATTGCCCTTTGATGCAGGTATATTCTGCCAAGTTACAGGCTGGTGTGGACATACATGCCTACAGCAACTGATGGGATAAGCCATGCTTGAGCATTGCCTCCTTCCCAGCTACCTAATGGTGCAACAGTTCCTCCCTCCAGCAGGTTTATCCAGAGAGGTCAGGAACTTCCTTCAAAGCAATAAAAGCTGAAGCCCTTTTCTACCACCCAAGGAGCATAATGCATACTACCTGACTCATCACTTAGCCAAAACATTTATTTAGCTTTTAAGTGGTACAACCAGATCTAAGAATGTTACCTTTGAACTGCGAGATAGATTAGTTGTAAGACAATTTATCAGGGTTGTATTTAAAAAAAATAAATCACTTTTGCATTTTAAGACAACAATAAGAAGTCTTCTAGTAGCTCAAACTTCTTCCTTTGAATCCTGCAAATTGTTCTCTTGTCCTCCTTCTATGAATGAAGAAACAGGAGCACTGGATTTTATTTATATTACTGCCTATTGTTGTTTTATATACCTCCAGTTGCTACCTTTTTTATGTTTAAGTGAGACCATATTTTCACTATTCCTTTTCACATGGAAGATAAACCAAGTCTCAGAAAATTTTGGGAGGATCAAGGGTTGCCCACATACAGAGATCCTGCAGGAGGAATGTGGCAGAACAAATTTTGACAATACAGTGAAAATGCTGTAAACATGTATTGACCTAAACCAGTCAAAAAATAGTTTCACAACTGTTACAACTTTATTGTCTTAGGGTTGCAGAACATCACAAAACATTCCTTTGACAACAGGCTGATTACTTAAAGCATTTTGATTCTGGCACTACACCTTTTACAGCACTTTTAATTCTTAGACAACAGTTAATATTAAAAATATATATTGTGCTATTTTTAAAGCCTCCCTCTTCATTAGACAAACAGCTCTGTGAAAATTAAGAGTATTCATGTCTATGAGTCTGAATTCTCATAACTACATTTTAAACATTGTTCCTCTAATTCCTTTACAAATTTCTGCATGTTTCTGTGCAATTAGAAGTTTGACTCTTTCGATCAGAATTTTAGTATGTGCTTTCACTAACATTTATCCGTAACTATGGCCATTATTCAAAGCACTTTTTAAAAAGATACACTTCAGGGAATGAGGAAGCATTATACACAGAACATACTACTGTTCAAGTTCCCTTAATTTTCAAATTTTACTGGTGTTCCTGCTTCTATGTGTTACTAAATTTACAGCAATGATAAAACATTTTAAAATTCCCTAGATACATTTCTCTCAGAGGAAACTATTTTTTAAACGGGTAAACATCTGAATGTAAGCTGAATTTTTAAGAGAGCACTTCAAAAGAAAGAAAACATATGTTGTGACTGGCCTTTGTTATCCAGTTAATGAAGAAACTAATTCATTGTTTGGACAGGCCATTGAGGAAAAAGTAGCTGAATTTTTGGGGGGAGATCAAGTGCTTAATACAACATATGATCTGTATTGGCTTTGATTTGTTGGAAACACAGAGAATCCAAAATAATTTCAAAGTATATTAGAAAGCTTATGGAGACCGTCAAAAGAGATTTTTAAAAAGTGCATAGCTACTGTTGCTCCCAAACATTACATGAAAATTTCAGCTACTTCAAGCACACAAAATGTTGAAAATAAAGATGTTCTTTCTTGAAGAAAGAATAATGAATTCTGGAAAGTAAGACCTAGAGTCTATACCATGGGAGGAGAAACTGAAGTTTCAGTTTTACTGAAAGTTTGCACAGAACAGTATTTTACTTAAGACAAAGGTCAACTGTGAGGCAGAAAACCAAAAACAATGTATTTAATATGCACACTAATGGATTTTTATTTATTTACTTTTTTGCTTGAAGAGGTGTACATGGTGGTGCCACCGTTTCTCAGCCCTGGTTTAGGTGGAGATCTCAGTCACATCTCCAGGCTTGATGTTTTTAGCTCCCCTTGGGCCTCAGACCATTCTGGGTGGGGGATCATCACCTGCCTCAGCCAGAAGCACGATCCTCAGCCCCCTGAGCAAGAACTGCCAGGATCGTGGGGACAGGGAGCCCATGGAAAGGGAATCTGTATCATCTGCGAGGTCAGAAGGGATGTCCCAGGGTCCTTTCAAAGTGACAAAGGAGCAATAGTGGTCTAGAGGCCTCTTTTAAAAATTCAAAATACAGAAACCCTACAGAATGAAAATCAGGTAGTCATTCTAAGGAATGGATTACATCCCAGTACATTTAACTAGTCTAAAAAGCTAAAAAAGCATACGGAAAGTGATGATTGATAAGTTCTTTATGAAAAAGAAAATATGAAAATTTATTTTTCAAACATAAGAAGCAATCCTAAGTTATACAAGCAGTATAAGTGATGAGAGGAAATTAAGCCACACTTAAAATCTTTAGTTTTGGATATCTAGCTGTCAGGAGCAAGAGATGACAGAAAACAATTTGAATTCTTAAAATAATGATTTTGCTTTGGAAATAACTTTTGGAGCCAAATTTGGTTACCCTCCAACGTAACCATGTAGCTTGTAATTTCTAAAGCAAAGAGACTGCTTGCAGCTCAGCAGCAGATCATTAACCAATTGCTCCAATAGATAACAAACAGTTCCCCAAAATGATACCTGTACTATCAAAACAAAGCAACATGTACAAAAGCACAAGTAGGTTTACCATGCCTAGATTTCAAAAGCCCAAATAATGAGACCTGCTTAACCATTGGGAAATATTGCCGAAGTCATAGACGACAGGAAGTGTTCGTGCTTGTCTTTACCTTTCTCAATCTTTATTCCCCCATCAGATTTTGGGAAGGCTGGTGGAACTGGGTCCAGTGCCCTGGTTTATAATGAGAAGAAAAATGTTCATGAGCAACAGTATCCACTAGACAACATGGAGCTCCCTAGGCAGAGTTGCTGCAAACCAGATTAACTGATCCGTGCTGCAGAAGGAAATTTGAATCAGCTTTCCAGGATATCCAAGTTTACAGATGAACTGAGAAATTACTCTGACATTTGGCAAAACTGAAGCTCAAACCTGAAAAAAGTCCAGCCTACCCGTGAAGCACTGAGAAAATTAACAGCAATAAGCGAGTGCACTAAGCATAAAAGCAGTAATTTTAAATAGACGAGGCTAACAGATCTGAGTTACTACAGTCAGATTCACCACCAGTAGTCAATATTGGTATGTCATGGCTCTTTCCACATGACAGCATTGTGTATTTGGCTAAAACTATAATTGTTCTCAGATGAGGAAACCTAAAGTGAGGATGAATGAAACTATGAAAACTGCAGAATGCTTTCAAGAGTTGCCAAACAGATCAATGTCATAAGAAGTGATTGATTTAGACAACAAGATTAACACCAAGAACCATGAACCACTGTATCTCACATCCAAATGAAGAAATGGTAGATTTAGCAAAACAAATAACTGGAGAAATCTGCACTTACTGACCAAGTTAGTGTACACAAGCAAAAATAATTGATATGAACAAAGTTCTATATCAAGATTCAATTTACCAATTAAAGAAATGCAGCACAGACCCCAGTGTCAAACTATGGAGCCTTCTTTCATTGCTCATTTGGCTTTGCCATCAGTGTCACAAAGAAGACAAAGTGCAGATGAATGCAACACAAGTATTGCGTGATTTGATAATGTTACACCAGGAGACTTAGAGAAATAGTATAGTAATATATAGCTTATATGCTTGACAACATGGTTTGCATGCAAGTACAGGCAAAGATTTTTTGCCAGGGTTGCAAAACAGAATCAAAGTATTTTTGGAAAATAAATGATCTGCTATAATCTCCACACACCCCACCCCAAAAGAAGAATCTAACAAGACCCACGGCAGTTCCTAGTTCCAGCCTACGTAAGAAGTGAAAATGAGTGAAATTAATCTAGAAAAATGGAAGGAATTTCAGTGTCATACAACATAACAACTGCATTTACAACAATAACCTAAATTTGTTAATCACAATTCTGTATCTTAAGAACCAAACTACAGATTTTCAACTTTATTTCCATGTTAATACATGGAAATGGAGGCTGGAAATGCATTAAAAAAAACAGATGCCTATATACTTTAAGGAAATATTTAGGCACATAATGGAACAAACCTCTGGCAAGTATCAGGACAAATTTGGTAGCTCCACAACAAAAACTTATTCAGAGAAGCATAAGAAAACTTCCAGGATGTGTGTTAAGAATGATGATAGAGCATCTGCTGTGATAGAGTTATACAGGGTAGAAGGACAAAAACACTATTCAGTACAGGAAAAAAATGCCATTGACCAAAAATTGCAGCTCTCATCTTTGTCCAGCCCTTTTGCTGCACCTCTTGCCATTACTGTTTCCATGCCCTTGCTATGCAGTGGTCAAATCTCACAGTGCGAAAGCTTATTTCTGCTCCCTTCCTCAGAGAAGGGTGTAAAGTCGTGTGAACATGTAATAAGCAAAGCAAGCATTTCAGTTATTAACCATACTGCTTGCTAGCAATATCCCCTTGCAGTGCACCAGCTTACTTGCATGCAAGTCATCATTGGTTAAGGAGAGGGCATTTCCAAGGGGAAAAAAAAAAAAAGAGTAACATAATCTGGCTGCTCTTGGCAGCTATTTTTGCAGGACTTTTATTATGAAGCAGGAGGGAAGACGGTGTTCAGTTCCAATTCTCTTTGAAAAAGAAAAAAATACACTGCTGCAGCTATACTTCCGTACAACATAATGGAACAAGCAACCCCTTACTGCCCCATGGAAAACATTCCCAGGCTGTGCTTTTTAGTGCGCTGACCACTGCTGCTCAGGAGCATCCTACTTTTGTGACTCTTGACCTCAGCTTCATTCTAACCATCTATCATAATACAGTGGTGCAGTTACATAAACCATATCCTGGAGCTCCCCGAGGCAACACAAATGACAAATATGCTCTATTCTATCCATTTGGAAGAGTGTAATCGCATGAAATGAAGTAATTAGATGTTCTAGATCATCCCTCAGATTATGCCTAGAGATTGCACCCTCCCCCTTTTTTTTTTTTTTTTGAGTGATGACTCCCTTATTTACATGGAAAACTAGGACAACTAAATGCAAATGAGTTTGCATTTAAACATACTAATAAATAATAAAACTAATAATACTAATACTAATAATACTACTAATAATAAAACATACTAATTGTTTAGCTCATCACTCTGAGTGAAGGAGTGAAGTCTACCAATATGATTGCAAAAGAATAACCCATCCTAATTTTCCTTTCAAGGACCTGCATTCTCATTATGGCCTGAGAACTACGGTGACCAAGGAAAAGCTGAGGTATTGTTTCACTTTGAAAATAATTCTCCATGCCACTCACAAACTAACAGAAAAAAAGTCTCTCTGCAGGCACTGCATCGGTTCCTGCCCATGTTATTTACATGCTAAACTGGGATTATCACTCCTGCACTTCTATGTTGGGGGACCAAGTAAATCCCTCCACTGTCTTATTTTTACTGGGACTGACCTCCAAACAGAACAGGAAATCTCTTTGTAAGCAAATTCCCATAACCAGTCCCTTTGCTGTTTAGTCTGCATTGGATTAAGCAGTGACTTGCTTGCTTCTTTGATTGGCAACTATAGTACTATAAAAACAAATGTACAGAGCAAGTCTCACCAGAAAAGCCTCCCAATCTGCAGACCCTTTCAGCTTTATTTGGACTGAAACTTGATGATAGCTCCACTAGACAGGAAACACTCACCCCTCCTTTCTAATATGGCACTACCAGGACGACACATTTTCTCACAGATCAAGCAGCAGAGCAGGGAGGGGGGTGAGAGAGCAGGGACACCGGAGACCTTCTATAATACGTGTCTCAAAATCAGATGGTTGTAAGACACAGAAGCTGACAACACTGCTTATTTATCCTAAAGTAAATTCTTTGATTGATAAAAAACATCGCTTACAGATGCTTGAAACTGAGTGAGATATGGAAAAAGCAAAGCACCCCAGACATTTTAAACCCACTATCCTGTGCAATATGGAAGAAGTAGACACTTGAGCAGTGAAGCATTTTGCTTGTTTTCTCGCTGGATATAGCATGCTGCTTGTTGATGACCCTTTGTCATACTATAAGGAAGCCCCCCAGGTGGCTAGGGCTCTTAGGGCTCTGGCCTTTGCAGGTGCTATTCAAGTGGCAGATACACAGAAGGAGCCCTCCAGCACACAGTACTGACATAAAATGTGTAGGTAAGGGTACATGAAACAGAAAAGGGGTTATTCTGCTGTTCTGTAGCACATCTATTAAGACACAGTGTTTAGGTATCCGTAGCTGAGGCCAAGATATATCATGTTATTTACTGAATGTCACCCAGCAAACAGGTGGGTATAGAAAACCCACGCAGAACAACTTTTCTGTGAGCTATTCTGTATGAATCTGCACTCTGGCCAGTGTCAGTGAAGTATTTGCTTGCCATTATAATATCGGCTGTAGGATGCAGCCTGAGGTTGGAGGACCCAATTGTGTGAAGCTTTATCTGGGAGCAGCTGCTCCTTACAGGTCAGGGAAGCAGAAGCCAAAGGCAAGTGCAGGGCAGGGAGTGCCCTCACTGATGGGCACCATCCCTCAGGGAGAGCACCAGAGCTGAGTGCTGTAATCAGGTCCCTGGACAGCCCCAGGCAGGGCAAGAGATTTGCCAAGGCCGAGGTGCATTATCAGGTGGCAGTGAGGGAACAGGGACAGAAGCAGGGCTGGAGACATGGCTGCAGCACATGTATGAGGGGTTCATTCTGGACATAAGTAACATGCAAAGTGGGCCCAAGGTCCATCCAGGGGCTGAGCTGGAGACCAGCCCTGCTGCAGCATCCCTGGGACAGGGACTGGAAGCATGGGGTCCTGAGACAGGTGCAGGGGAACCCTGGAAGAAATATTAGGGACTGATAGTGCCTTCTGAGCCTAGACAGGCTTGCTTTGTGAGGTCTGAGGGCTGGAGATAAATAAATTTCCTTAGCACTTTAAGTCTGGCCCATAGAAAAAAAAAAAAAAAATACCACAACACATTCTTAATTACTACAAGCTTGTCCTAATTAGCAATCTTGGCAGATTGGACCACAGACTGAAGAGTCAAAAGATGAAATATTTCTTTTTGAGGCTAAATAAGAGATGTCACGTAGCCAAACTGGCATTGAGCAAAAGAGAGACTGGCAGGTGTGAGGCATGAGCCCTGCCTTCCTTATGCTCTCTAACTTAAAGCTTGCTAGCTCTGCTAACCAATTGCCCTATTTGCTTGCCCAAACATCAGCATTACTATGTTCTTGATACTGGGATATCTGCTGGAAAGATGTGGATTCACCTCCTACTTCTACCAGTGTAATCATAGCCAAGAAATACATCAACAAACTGGAGCCTCCATAGACAGGCACACATATGAGCACAGTTCAGCCAAGTCTGGATGGCCACAAACAAAATTTCTCCTGAATTTTGCCACTGAGATAAAAGATGGATTAGTTATAGATTTGAAATCATGAAATCACCTACCTCTGCATGACAGCACACCTCTGAAGAATCCTGGTGCTTTGAGGGATGCGAGTCTCAGCGTCACATCTGAGTCAGCAAGGCATTTGAGCTCAGTACTGAATGCTGGTGCTCACCTATACCTGACCGCACTAGACAAGGTCCACACTGAGGTATTTCTACCAAATAGTCCATCAGGAAGGACATTGGTCTGTTATGACATACTCTGACTTGTTTAACTAGAGAAGCTAGAGGTACTCACAGCAGTAGGGTGTTAAATCTGGGAAGCTGCTGGAAACACAGCCACCTGGAGAGCCATAGGCTCTTCCTTCTCCCTCTTAGTCTTACCAATGCTTTAACTCACTTTCCTTCTGCTGGGTCTCCCACTTGTTACATTTAGCATTCACTGCATTATTGATCTCCACAGTTTCCTATGACAGACTGAAAAGGCAGAAGGGGAAAATGCATCCCTTTTACATGATTTGAAGCACAGTCGCATCACCTGCTTTCATTCAACTCACCTGAAGGCAGTTAATAAACCAGTAGACAATGTAATGTGTGTGTCTGAAAGGAATCACCCTCCTTCTTCCCTTTGTTGGCAATGAAATAGCTGTCTCCTGTTGTCCTGTACTTTTCTTGGTGCAGAGTACAATTCAGCACCTTCACATGATCATGAACTCCTACACATAATGGTCAAACGCTGATTTTACATGCCAGCAATTGAACTGCTTCTGGAAAAAAAAAAAAAAAAAAAAAAAAGGTGGAACAAAAATAAGATCACTTCAGAGTTTTTCTCATTTGCAACGGAAATAATTTTGGTGGTGTACTGAGTACATCCCATGAGAGGATGTGTGGGTCTGATGTCTGAAGAAAGGCTTTGCTTGCGCTGCCAATAACTTATGGCTGCTCGTGTGCTTTCTCTGAGCCAGCTGTGGGGATCACTGGATCCCTTCACAGGATGACATAACTCCCAAAACCAGAATGAAGTTATACCTGCAAAAAGGAGGGAGGGGGGAAAAGTCCTTCTGGTGTTTTCAGGAAGTTGAATTGCCTCAGCAGAGGCCAATGCATGCCAGAACTACCACAGGGGAGAGCAGGGCCTTGTGACCAAAGGGCATGGGATGAGGGAGCCAGGCCTTCCCTTTTTGGCAGCAGGAAGGGATCACGTTGGCTGGGTTTCCTGTGGAAGTGCAGCCCAAGCCTTCTGCCAAATGCTCAGTCACCAGGCTGGAAGCAAGATGAGGTCCGTGGGCTCCTCAGGCTGGAGCTGGCACCTTGCCTGGCACCCCAGGCCATTCCCTGGACAGAGGGGAATGTGGGCAGCAGGGTGCATGCAGCAGGGCTGACCCCTCTTATAAGTTGGAGAGTCAGGTCCATGCAGCAGAGTGTCAAACTTGGCAGGGCCAGGGAGCCTTCACGATGCTCTAGCCTAGCTAACCTTCTTTGTATTCTGCTTGGACCACAGGCAGTATAGCCATCTATGCCCTCTCTGGCAGAGGGAGAATGTGAACTTGTGTCTCCTGCCACCATGGAGGGGTCAACTGGGGCTAAACCACGACTTCCTCCAGCTGCACTATGTATTTTTGTGATCAGGAGACAATCAGGCCTTCTCAAAGGGTGTTTGTCAGAGACCTCATTTGTGGATGCCATCAGGGGTTAAACATGAGCTGGGTGTCTACTTACTGAGCACAGGGAGGGATGGAAAAAAAAAAAAAAAAAAAAAAAGGAAAGAAAAGAAAAAAAAAAGAAAAGCTAAAGGCAGTTCCAGGCATGCCCAGGAGCAGACCTTTGGGCACCTCAGGAATTTTCCTGGCAGGAGTGTAGGCACTTGCAGACTTCAGACGCCTCCAGGGTTAGGCAGTAGCTGAACAGGGGTTTTGAGGATCTAAATTTTGGCCGCAGATACCTACAGAGGCAGTTAGGCAGAGCTTACGTGCCTAAACCTTTTTTGTGGCTCAAGCCCTAAACTAATATTATGGAAAATACCAGCAATTATTAGGGACTTCTTATCAGATTGGATACATATTCCCTTTGCATAACTTTACCATGGCCTCATTCATGTGGTGCTTAAAGAGGATGAATACCTGTTCTGCATGAGTAATTATGCCAAAGGCTCATGTGAGGGAGGTCGTTTATGACCGCTGAACAAGGCCAGCTATGTTTACCTACAGAGCTTCATCACTTAAACTAAAAATTGGTCTTACCGCTAAGTCTCCCTTGCCACTTCGTTTGCCTGATTGCAAACAGATCCTGAGTATGTAGTTGTGCTAAGATGATTGATGCCAAGATGCTGCACTGAACGGGAAATATTCTTTTAAGTGTTATCACGTCCATGAGCATAAGCAAAGCCGTGTCACATGACAAAATGTAAATAGAGCATTTCTTAGAAAAGCCATTTATTTGCCTCCGTGATTTATTATTCAGTGACATGTAGGCTATTTTTTCTTTGTTATTGGCACTCACATTCATAATAACAAGGTACTTGACTTGAAGGTATTTGGCCAACCTTTCCAAAGTGCTATGTAAGCAGTAATCAGAGAGAGCTAAGTTCGTGAGTCAACAAATTGCTCTCCCATGCTGATCAAACAGTCTTGGCATCTCTATAAAAAAAATACAAAAACAGATTTTGGACTAGCCTACCCAGTTCTCTCTCTAAAATTATTTATTGTATTTGCATTTGGCAGAGTTGAGGCTTAAAATAACCAAAGGTGCTGGTTGTTTTATTAATAATATTTTACATGTGATTTTCATTTACATTTAGAAGGATAAATGAGATATCCAGTTAGCCTCATGTTTTTTCTTGCCATAAACTCTGTTTCATTTACTCGACCTAGGGACAGATGCTTCTCTCATTTTACGCCATGCCCCCACAGCCTGTCATGGAAAGCAGCCTAATACTCGGGTCAAAGCTAGTCAGGTCAGTAGAGCTGAGGTTTATTGTGGAAAGCTTTCATTCCATCCCACACAGGGTTGTTATTATTAAAGCAAGTAACAATCAGATATAACGCACAAGCTCCAGGCTTTAACAGGAGAAGGAACTCAAATAAATCTAAGTGGAATTTGTACTCATTTTCTATCATCCATGTCCATCGTATGTGCTCACAAATCCAGGCCTGAATCTGAAACATATATTCCCATGCTTAGTCTTGCTACTTCACTGTGTAAACGAATGCCTTAAAATGAAATATATGTATTTGTGTAACTCATTGCTACCGTGTGCAAAGTGCATAGGGCTGCATGAATAATTGCATTTATTTTCAGCACAACTGCCAACTGGGAAACATTTTGGAAGCTTGGATTAAACTGAAATAACTTCCGCCCTCATTTCTTACATGAAATAAAAAACAAGAAAATGTCATTTTGAACTGAAAAGCTCCTTCTGACCCCCAAAATGAAACACTTCATTTTTGGACACATGTAGTAAAAACAAAGGAAATTAAAGGGCTAGATTTCACAAAGCAAGAAGTGATGTTCTGTCTTTTTTTTTTTTTTTCTTTTCAGTAACCTGTACAAAAGATAACTCTTTCAGCTTCATGGGGTGTCTGAAGTCGTTGTCTCTCCTCCCTGAGGATGCCACTCACTGTCCCTGAAGTTAAGGGAGACAACCAGACTGTGGCTTTCCTAGCTGCCTGCCAGCTGCTTAGCTTTCCTCCATGCCATCTGTTTTGTGCTGTCCTGAAGATGGAAGTGATATGTGGGGAAATAAGGTGAAGAATGGCACCAGAGCCTGAACTGCTGCCTCCAAAGGAGCATGTAACCCTGCTGTAGATGCTCTCCTGATGTACAGCAGTGGGGGTGGAAGCAGTTTCAAGCCATCTTCCTTTTGCTGCTGTTTCATTTGGTCTGTATAATTAAATGTTCCCTGAACCCAAGGGTTGCTATTTCTTGGGGAGAGAGTCCTTACCATCAGGCTACACAGTTAAGCCACTTTTTAAGGAAAGGGTTGCTTCAGCATTTGGTTTCTACCAAAGTGCTGTTAAAATAGTTTCACTTATTGCAGGACCACAAACATCTGTTAATTACGGGTCCAGGTTTTATTTCTTTCTTTATTTTAATAGCTAGGTCTTATTGACCTTCACTTAAGCACTTTTGAAAATTTTACCCCAAATAAAGACTGCTGTGTTGAAAAGTGCAAGCAATTGCCATCATGGGAGTCTTGGTTTCAAAGACAGCTTGCAGACCTCATTAAGCCAATGAGCTTGCCAAGTACACTCTTCTCAATTCAGTGCAAGCAACAGTTAAGCCCCTACATACAGCAAAACAGCTGTTAACAGCAGAGGCTGTCTGACATGGGCAGAGAGAACTAAGCTCACCCAAGCAGACTTCTCTGTTTTGATATCAGAAGATCACGGCTTACACTGGTAACAGTGGGAGTTGTGAGAGGAACCCTAAAAAGAAGCATAACAGGACTGCTTCAACTTGGGGCTGATCAGTGAAGCAGAGCCAGGATCTCTGAGCCATTAAAAAGCTTCCTGATTGTCCTTTGTCCCAGGACTTCTGTATAGTCTTTGTCAAGAAGCATGGTTACAGTGAGAAATCTTGACTGATGCAAAACAAGTGATGGGCTAGCATGCCAGAAGGTCTGCATTATGCCATTGAGAAATCTTGTCTTGTGTGCAGGACAAAAACAGATTTTTGAGACATTTTGAGAAAGCAAGATAAGCAGAACCAACTCTCCAAAGAGTGGTAAGATGCTCCAGGCATTCAACAGATCCCCAAAACAGACTACATATTTGCATACTAAACATGGAGGAAGGAAAATGCCTCAGGTTAAACAGTGTTTCTATGCACATAATGCTTTCCAGCTGTTTGTGTGAAGGACACACTACAGGCACCCAGCTACACCAGTCTGAGGGGAGCAGATCCACCTTACATTATCATGGTGATATTCACAAAGCAAGAGTAGCTTAAAAATCTTCCAGTCTGAAAAAGCAAGACAGATCATATTAGTGATGTTGGTATTTCAACTCAAAAAAGTAAAGGGCAACACACAGACTCACAAAAGTATTGAGGCTACTGAGTTCAGCACAATATAGGCACTTTATACCCATGAGGGAAAATCCATGATGGGCCTCCTGATTCCAAGGCCAGTGCTGTCCACAAAATCCATCCTTCCTCTTGGCTAAATCATTCTTAGCACAGGATGTTTTCAAAAATAAGAGTATTTTCTAAGGTCAAGTGCCCTTTCCAATCTATTTGCAGAGAAGTTGCTAACATGATCCCTCAATTCTAACTCAGCACAGCCCCTCAGGACATGTTTGGCTAAAAACACTCTTAGATTTAGGAATATCCCTACACTTTTATTCAGCCATAAATCCTTGCAAGCACCAATCCAGGATAAGAGCCAGAAGCTGCCCAAACACAGTTCCGAAGAAGTGAGATATAAGTGAATATCTCACAGTGGCACCACCATTAACAAGTGTTATAGCAAAAAGAAAATAAATAAAGATTTTCTCTGGAACACAAATGCATGATAAAATCCCCAAGTGAACAGATTTGAGACCTTGCTTTTCACATTTAATTTACAGTTTCCAAGTCTTTATCACTTCAGGTGGGATTTTACATATTGACCATAAGTAGAACACACCCTGTTTTATAATTCCCTTATCTTACCTAAACAGGAGACAGATAATGACTTCTATACCTCCTCACACTTTGATAATAGAAAGCAGTGATGTATTGAAAGTTTCCTTATCACCTTCAGTTCCCACACAGGTGTTCTGGGTGATAAACTACTGAATGATATAAACAATGATTTCAGGTTAAAAGTAACAATTGATCAGTTAGAAAGGAACAATAAAAAAAAAAATTAAACATTTTCTGAGGGAGAGGTGGCACTGAAATTACTCAAATACAGGAGCATAAATGTGAATTTTGTCACTGACCATGAAGCAAAAATATTGAGGACTTCTCTGCAGTAATGCTTGATCTTACATCTCACAACTTGCACACATCTTCTATTGAATTTTACATTGATCTTGATCAATCACAGATATGATAGGAACAGTATGCTATTCCCTCTCTTTTTAGCCAGTGATATGAAAATTAGAACAAAATATTCATTTGTTCACTGACAAGTCTGTCTCCAAGAGATGTTATTATAGTACAGCCTTTCTGCAGCTCTTCCTGAACAACTGTGTGGGTGAACTTTACTTAAGTTTTACTGTGAAGGCAGTGAGGCCCTGGCACAGGCTGCCCAGAGAAGCTGTGGATGCCCCATCCCTGGAGGTGTTCAAGGCCAGGCTGGATGGGGCCTTGGGCAGCCTGGTCTGGTGAGAGGTATCCTTGCCCATGGCAAGGGGTTGGAACTGGATTATCCTTCAGGGTCTCCTCCAAGCCAAGCGATTCTATGAATTGCAATAAGAAAGCAATTTTGTAAGAAGAAAACTCCAATATGAGTTAGTGTTATCAATTTTTTCAGCTAAACTCTTTATTTTCCTGTACCTGTTTTTCTGTTTGTTTAAGATGCAATAGAGAACATATAAATGTATTTTAACCATCTTTTCTTGGTGAAAGAAACTGAACTTAAAAGTCTTCAAGGCTTTATCTTACAGTCTTACCTGTGTTGCTGCCATTGTGCAATGAATCACCCCAGTTACACAGAGAATTATAAGAATTTATGCTCTATGTTGCCTTTGAGTATTTTAATTTTAGTACTCTGAGGAAAACTAGTATTATCAAACCCAGACAGACCCCTAGAAGTCTGATAAAAATCAAATGCACACCCACTGCTCTAAAAGTGCATGGCCAAATCTTTGCTCCTCTAAAGGCCACAGCCTTCTTGCAAGTGTTCTCTCTGGTCTTTGGGGACAAAGCTGGAAACTACAGCATGTGATGGTGTTTTTGAAACTGCACCCTCTGGCACATTTCCACCATCTGCACTTATTATTCAATACTAGGATCCACTAAGATAAGTAATACACAGAAACATTTATGAAATGTCAGGGAATAGAATACCATTTTAACAGAAAGGGGAATTCAAACATATTTTTCATTTCACAAGAAACATTCCAAGATTTTCTCCAGGACTTTGTCTAGAGCAACACAATCTCATGCTACCCTCCAGGGCAGGGCTCTGGCTTGATGTTTATTCATGTGGCACCAATGGGCTTTGGTGGATACACTCAGCCAGTTATACCCTTCATCTAAAGAACAGCGTTGTCATTCTCTTATCAATTTCCTGTCAAGTTTCTGCCAATTTATAAGGAATAAAAGGTATTTCCAAAAAGGAAGTAGTTAGGGGAGAAAAAGAGTCCTTTACTCAGTGGCTTATTGATTATTTCTATCCAGTAATGGAGTCCTATTAAATAAGGAAGTCCCTCTTAAATTTTAGAGATAACTTTTCTTTAAAAACAAACAAACAACAAAAACCACCAAAGATATATCAATTTTTCTCTTATATCTGCATCACAGGCTTTCTGTATTTGTTTTATACCACAATCTGCCTCCAGGTGGAAGATGCCTTGACATACTTTTCCATAATCACCTGTCTTTCACATTTAGGTGTCTCTCTCATTTCTGAAACTTGGAGTGAGACAACTGGTTAATAAGTTGGTTTTACTAGTGAGAGGAAAGTGAAAGGATTAGATTCTCTGCCTTCCTGTTATCAAAGCCACTGTTCTTAACTAACAGTTTAAAAACTTGGATATTTTCTATAAGGTAAAGTCTTGTCTAAATAGGTTTCTTTCTGCATCTACAAGAGTAACCAAGGCAGTGGTTTCCAAGCCTAAAGTGTATGATTTATTAATCATCGGATTCAGTAGACCTCAGCTTCCCAATGCTTTCTGTTTCTCCACACGATATGCACAGCACCAGTACACAGGTGCAGTGTGCCACTATACAACCTAACAGCACCATCCTTACAATATCTACTTAGCAAGAATTGCGTTCTCAAACCCTCTCATGGAGTGTTCTTCACTCAAGGTGGATAAGATAGGTGTTTAGATTATCAGAATTGCTGGCAGAACAGTTATTTCAACAGCAACTGTATCAAATATCTCTTGATTATTCCTAAGCCTTCTTGATAAGCATCATAAGTGCTTAACACTTCTCAAGAAATCTCTTCATAGAATTGGGACCCCATAGATATAACCTAACATGCATTAACCAAAATAGAGTAGAGCTCTTGAAGCGTCTCTGCTTTATTTTTATCTGGAGTTGCCACAAGCAGTCACACAAGTATTTTTCACTCTTGCTGCAGTGTTGGCTGTGGATTTTGCCTCACACTCCAGCACCACTGCTGCTATCTCATGTCATTGGCTCTTTCTTGCTTTGCTCAGTCAGAGTCCAGTAGGATGCCACCATCTGTCAGAGCCTACAAGAAGGCACAGGGATTAAGAGTGGATTCTCGTGAGAAAGACAGCAATGTGAACAGGAAGTGGCCCACCAGGAATCCTTTCTTGGGACGGGCTCCTGTGGAAAAGAACAAACCTTTATTGTCACTATTGCAGTTTTAACTTTATATTCTTGTGCTCATCCTTTGATTCATTCTCTCTCCCCCCACTCTATTCCCATCCTTCGGGTGGGAAACAGGATATTTTGTGAAATTCTTTCCTTCCTGTGTGGGTCCACATGACATCTTTAATTAGCAACTCGCTGCAATGGAAGTGAAGAAATAAAAAGCACAACTGTCCTGCTGAGGAGCCTGCAATAAAATTGTTTTTTGTTTTTTGTTTTTTTTGAACAGGTATTTAAGGCACTTTGTGCTATTTGTTAAGATACTTGTTGTTAATATTTAATAATATTACCAAAACAAAACAAACAAACAACAACAACAACAAAAACTCAAAAATTAAAACATAACTTTCCTGTTGAATGTGTGTCCATGAAGAACTTTACAAACATCATCCCTCTTTGTGTCTCTTTGGAGAAGCCAAGAGTGATGTGAAGGAGTCCTCTGGGCAGAGCTTCAGCCAGCTGCCAACTGCCATTGCACCTAGGCTGAGTGGAAATGCTTATTTCATTAATTTCACCCTGGGAGCTGATCAGAGCTAGGTAGCTTTCTGTGGACAACCCCTGTGGCTGCAAGGCCTTTTCTGAGGGTGAGATTTGATGTTACAGAGGCACACACAGCAGCACCGGCTTGGAATGAGATAAAAACAGGGACAAGACTGGCAAGTTTCGAGGATCTGGCCCTGATCCTTCACCGCTTTTTCACTCTGTATAATGGTAACTATAAAATACTATTAAGACTTATCTGTTTAGCATCTTTGTCAGCAACATGCACACTGGGATTGAGTGCCCTCTCAGCAAGTTTTCTGATGACACCAAGCTGTGTGGTGCAGGGATGCCGTCGAAAGGGACCTGGACAGGCTTGAGAAGTGGGCCCGTGCAAACCTCATGAGGTTCAACAAGGCCAACTGCAAGGTCCTACACCTGGGTTGTGGCAATCCCAAGCACAAATACAGGCTGGGCAGAGAATGGATTGAGAGCGGGGGGTTAGAAGGACCTGGGGATGTTGGTTGATGAGAAGCTCAGCGTGAGCTGGCAAGGTGCACTTGCAGCCCAGAAAGCCAACCGTATCCTGGGCTGCATCAAGAGAAACATGGCCAGCAGGGTGAGGGAAGTGATTCTGCTTCTCTGGTCTGCTCTCATGAGACCTCACCTGAAGACCTTGTTTCAGCTCTGGGGCCCCCAGCATCAGAAGGACACAGACATGTTAGAGTGAGCCAACAGGAGGACAGTGAAGACCACCAAGGGGCTGGAGCACAGACTGAAGGGAGGCTGAGGGAGCTGGGGTTGTTCAGTCTGGAAAAGAGAAGGCTCCATGGAGACTAAAGTCTCTAGAGGCCTTCCAGTAACTAAAGGGGACCTGCAGTAAAGCTGGGGAGGGACTCTTTGTCAGAAAGTGTAGTGATAGGACAAGGGGAAATGGCCTTAAACTAAAAGAAGGTAGATTTAGACTAGATATAAGGAAGAAATTCTTCACTCAGAGGGTGATGAGGCACTGGTACAGGCTGCCCAGAGAAGCTGTGGATGCCCCATCCCTGGAGGTGCTCAAGGCCAGGCTGGATGGGGCCTTGAGCAACCTGGTCTGGTGGGAGGTGTCCCTGCCCATGGCAGGGGGGTTGGAACCAGGAGATCCTTAAAGGTCCCGTCTAACCCAAACCATTCTGTGATTCTATAATTATTCAGGTTATCCTTAAACACCAGCAGTCCAAGTGACTGCCCCAACTTATGGATCTCTTATAGGATTGGCCTATTCCTCTCTCCAAGATTCATTGAGCTGAAATTTCCTTTTCTAAAGATCTCCAGGCTGCTAGTAAGGCTGCAAAGCCCCAGGGGACATTAAGATGATTATGTTTTCTGATTTTCTTTTTTTTTTTTTTTTTTTCCTTTTTTTTCCTTTGGTTTGATTCTCTGATGTTTACCGGCATCTGGTAAAAATTATTTACACCACTACAGAGCAGCCTGCACTCACTTTGTGAAAACAAACAGTAACCACACAAGAAGCCAGAGTGGGGAAAAAACAGGCTCTGTGTGCCAATATGACATTCCTTCATCACCAAAAGTGCGAGGGTGTGAACCAAGAGAACTGCAGAGTGAAGTACAGGGTTGTGCTCATGGCAGTGTGTTTGTCATACCCCAAATGTGCCTGAAGGTGCAAAGCAATTGAGGATCTCACCAGACAGTAGATCACATCTGAGAAGTCTCACAGAAAAAAATGTTTGAGACATTTTCATGCAGTGTTTGTGCACCAGATCTCTCAGCTGCTCTCCTGCATTGTCCCATTGATGTGTTTGTCCATAGCTACTTCATAGCACAAAGTAACTGGAGTCAATTCCTCCTGATTTTCATACAGATCTAATCATGGAACAAGAATGTGCTTGGTCACATTTGTACTGGAACTGCATGTACAAAGTAAAGTTTGCACACCCCAATCAATTGGCTTGCAGCAGAAAATAGAAACTGCTATTCATAATGGCTGAACCTATAACTCTGAGCAAAGACTACTAGTGTGTGAATATTACTAATGACATTAAGTGTCTTTATCGTATCTTGTAAAGTGTTATCAATCAAACTACAGGTGTTAAGCAGGTAAAGGCTGTAGCTTGAGGCAATAGATAAGAACTTTTCCCTTGGATCTTAAGCACTGTTCCCTACCAGAGCTTTCCTTAGAAAAAGTGTCAGAGTCTCAAAGGAAAAAAAAAAAAAAGAAGAAGAAGAAAAAAAAAAGGAAAGAATTTTTTTAGGGCTTGGGGCAGAAGAATGAGGGGATTTTGTAGATAGTTTTAGGGCAAGCATTATAAACCTCTCAGAATGACTTTCAATGCCAATCTCCTTCCCAATCACAACCAGATGTTGCTTGTATTTACAAAAGAATCTGCTTTTTTTAAAAAAAATAAAAAAATAAAAAAATTCTGGTGTTAATAACAAGTATGTCTTGTGAACTTGTGAAATATATGGAAAGACGGTCAAGGATATGTGAGCCATGGGAGCTTGTCATACACAAGAGGCATCCAGAATAATATGTGCAGCAACATTACACTGAGATGTCTTAGCTGAACTGGGACCTAACGCACATCCCTTGGCTTGCTCTGGTCCTGTGCATAACACAACACAGCTAGTGTTATGAATATTTAATACACAGAAGGTAAAGAAATCAATTGCAATGCTATAACTGAAAGCCACTACAAAATTCTACTATTACTGCTGTGCTGTAGATTACATATGTTATTGATTCTCTTTTATAAGAGAATCCTCTTTATCCTCTTTTATAAGTAAGGTGACTTGGTGGGTTGGGGCCTCAGCCTTTAATCTGCTTTTGGATCCTGCTTGACTTTCAGAGTGAAAATTAATCTGGTAGCCTTATTCTAAGCTTCCATTTAGGTGTGTTATTAAGCCACCAGCCTGCTCAGAGCTCCTGCGAAAGTGGGCTCTGCAGAACAGTGCTGATGTACCTCCACAGAGTGGCACAATGAAACCCTCAGAGCTGGGCCCACTTTCTCTCTTAAAAATGTGTGTGTTTCTTTCTGCAAGACCAGAAACAGCTGCACACATACCAAGGAAAAAGATCATACCAATGCCCAGCTCTAGTTTGAACCACAAGTTTGAATTTTTGAAAGATGAAAATTTGTAATTCGTAGTAAACATCATTGTTATTGTTATTATTGTTAACCACAATTTTTTTAAGTAGCTTTCTTTATACATTCTCCTTACTCCAAGAAAGAAAAGAAATTACCAAAAGGAAAAGCTTAAGAGGCATAGGTCGAAAGCAGCCTAAAACAGGTGGAAAAGTAAAAGCCCTTTTCACTTCCATAGTCAGTCAAAGGCTTCAACTCATTTTTAAGATGGGCACAAGTTTTGATAGTTGTGTTACTGGCTGGGAAGAAGGGCAGAGATGTATGAAAGGAACTTGCTTAAGGCTTGTACCAGAAAGCAAAGACCGGAAAATTGGCTCCATATCTCCAGTTCTCAGTCCTTGCTACCAAACCTACATTCTGAAACCATGGAAAATGCAAGTCAAAGCCAGTTGTGAAATTTGCTCTGCCAGAAAAAGGCTCTGCAAAATTTTCTACTTATAAACTGATATCAGAACTATCTACATCCTAAAACAAACCATTGCAGATGAAACAAATTAAACTTCCTCACACACAGGTACATCTTTAAATGAGTTGATTTAGTCAGCATTTGAGCTAGCACCTGAGCATCCTGATGGTTCAGTTAAGATATTTTTAATATCTTTTATCACAGTGAAACTCTACTGTAGCCTCTCAGCTGTCATGAAGACTCACACACTATGTATATACAAATCCAATAGCATAACCCTATTCATAAAGACAATGACCCTGTAAAGGTGAGAATTGCTTTGTGCCCAAACTGGTGGTGTGTCAAAATTCATACCCTTACTCTGAGCCTTTTAGATGCTGGAGACAACAGCCTTGGAATTGTGAGCTCAGGTTATAGCTACCTCTGTGGTCCAGATATGGATGAGCTAGCTGTCTAGATGCCTAGCCACAGCATTAACAAATATGTAAGTTAAATTACCCCACTTACTACTCTAATCTAATAGTAGGAGATCAGCCCCTGATCAGCCCCAATCCCACTTACTAAGAACGACTAATTTGAGTAATTGAAGTGATCTTACTTAACATTTGCCTTAAATGATCTAGCAGTCTGATTCAGATAAGGTTTCAAACAGTCTCTGTCCTTTTGATCTCAAATTAGCTTCAAAATTAACACAGGCTTGGCTCAGATGCAGTCCAAAATCGCTTAAGTATATCCTTCACTGTAACCACGTTCAAGCCCTCTTCCTGATTCCACCAACTTAACTAAATCTCATCTCAACCTCATGCATCTCTATTGCAAAGAGGTGCTAGGGATGGTCTGAACAGTAGGGTAATGCTGGAGAGTTGAGCTGAGCAGCAACACAGCACTTTCAGAAACTTCCTGTTGCTAAAAAGTACGGGCAG